ATCAACTACAATTTAAATTACAAAAACACATTTTTGTTTTTCTTAGCTAGTAAACAAGTTGTTGTAAGATGGGTAATTCTTTCCTGGTATCATTCCCAACAAATTAGATAGTGTTTTGGCATGCTTCAGTTGGATGACTCAAACAGGACAAAAAATTGGTAGTATCATTTCAGCCTAGGATGTAGTAATCTATCTCTAAACACGCAATCCGTGGTAACGCGGTTAAAAATATTACTATCAAATCCCAGTAAACATAATAAATAAACTCTACACTCTGGAGAGGATTGGGATCAACGAGTAAGGGTCAGTGCTAAAAAATTTAAAGCAAAATCCTTTTTAACTTTTTCTGCCTTAAAATTGTGATTCAAATTCAATCAAGACAGGCATGAACTCTATTAGAGAATCCCAATAGATCCTGTTTGGTTTTGATGTAGCCGATGACTCGTGGAACAAGATGACATTCTCAATTATCTTTACACTCCATTTCAAATTTAAGACGAGGGAACTAACAAAATGGGAAATTTTTAGGGGAAGGTGAGTTATTTGTATAATTATTAGTTAAATTCAAGACCTTGAAAGTCACCATCATCTTGGATTTAAAAAAGGTTAAATGTCAACTTTTGTCCCTCAACTTTAAAACTTTATATAATTTTTATTTTTCAACTTTTTTATACACTTTTTTGATCCATCAACTATGAAAAATACATTTTTTTAGTCATTCCATTAGTTAATCCATTAAATTTGTCTAAATATACACATTTTTAATCTATCAACTCTTAATATATGCATATTTTTTATCTCTCAACTTTAAATTAAAAGATTAAAAATATATATATATATATTAAGATAAACTTAACAGATTAACTAACAAAATAATTTAAAAAGCGTATTTTTCATAATTGGGACCAAAAAAGTGTACAAAAAAGTTGAGGAATGAAAATTGATAAGACCTTAAAGTTGAAGGATCAAAATTAACATTTAATCTTTAAGAAATGAACTATAATTAGTGGTAGTAATCTTTTCATTAGAAATTGGGGGTATAAATTCAAATTATGCCATCTTAAGAAATAGTTCTTTATTAATTTCTTAATCTCTATATGAATAATTTACCTTTAAATAAATTGAAATATAAACTTAATATGGTGCATAAAAACTATCCTTAGTTAATATGTACCACAGAGTAGGAAAAACCATAGGAGGAGAAGGGTACCTAATTAAGGAGAGAACTCATGAGTTGCTTGGGTCTTATCTCATCTCTAAGTGGAGAAGGAAGAAAAATGAGAAAAACATTATTAGTACAATAATCATTGCAGAAACAAATTCATGTCACTGGGAAGAAATCTTCAAATCAAAGTATATGATGTTAAATAACCACGTGTGGTTACTAATGTTTCCCACTCTGGATGTGCTGTCCCCTTCTAATTCATTAATTCTTTTGGATTGATTATGTGGTTGGGGCCACTAGTATATCATCATTCACAAAACTTAATTCATATGGTTGTCAATTAAAATGTTTGCATTTATTGTATAAAGAATAGCCAGTAGGTAGTTAGAAGAGAAGATTGAAGTTTCATTTTCATTTTTTTTTCCTCGTATGGTAAAATACTAAAAATAAGATTGAAGCTGTTTGGGTACACGTCTCAATCGGCTTGAAGAATACTGTGGCATAAAGAAAATGAGTCATGCGTATTTCTTAAGGGTGTTTGCTATTCAGATAAATCAGTTTTTGATTTTTTTTTTTCTCTAATCTAATTTAATTGAATTAAAAAAATGTTAAACTAATCTGATTTGGTTAATATACTACAACTAAACCAATCCAACTATTATTAGATTAAATTGGTTTGGATTGAATTGATTAGTTTTATTCTAAAGAAAAGATATTTTTGAGAGTTTAGTTATACTACACTTCCTTTTGTAAATTTTAATTATAAAAAAATAAAAACAAAACCAAATAAATTTGTAATATATAGAAATCTTGAATAACACAATTTGAAAATTAGGATGAGCAAACGATAAGAATATAAAAATTAGGAAAAATCTTCTTCTTCTTCTTCTTTTTTTATACTAATTCTTTCAATATCAATTCAAATTGGATGATCATAAAGCAAAGTCACAAATTAAACCAATTGAATTAATTTGTTCTTTTTTATTTAAATTAATCTAATTAAATAACAGTTTTAATTATTTTTTAATTAAACTAATTTGAATTAAATTAAATTAATCAGATTGATTCAAATACGAAAATCCATAGTATATCGTATTATCGTGTTTGCTATATTCTCCATGAAGTTGTGTTGCTTTCTAGAAGAGGAAGAAAAAGGAACAAAGAATTTTTATGGAAGAGAAAAAGAGGTACTTCTTTGAGCAATAAACAATACATTATTTACCAAAAACAGCCAAATAATGGTACCTATCCCCTTTTTCTTGGGCAAGACCGCACCCTGATTTGAATAACATCGAGTTTTCTTTTGTAAGTGGAAAAAAATGTTGAAATTTTCTAAGAAAATTTTTAAAAAGGTCATTTGTGCAATTTGATGCATCTTCACCAGAAAACAGGGGATGCTTTTAAAAGAGAAGTAATGTTAAAAGGATTTCATTTACATCCTCTCTCTCTTTTTCTGTTTTTCCTTTTCTCTCTCTCTCTCTTTTCTTCACTTAGCCAAAAAGAGAAGTAATATACAAAATGTATATACTCCACCAACCTATCTACAAGAGTACATCTCTTGTCCTACCATGCTATTTCATCACAGATTCTCACTGCCAGTGTAGAACATCAAGGCAGCATGAAATTTCCAAATTATCAATCCCATTACCAAGAAAAGGAAACCAAAAAGCAAAGAGAGATGCAACTGATCCCCCATTTTTCTCATTCCTTGATCAAATTCTAATACATCAAAGCACCAGCTAGATGATAGTGATAATTTAATAAGAGATAGGATCCTAAACTCATTTGAGACTTTGTTTAAGTTGATCCCAACTCAATTAATTATTGGATACTTGGAAAAGATACTAAACTCTGAGCAAATAAACACTGAGTTCAGGACCTCCAGACCCATCAGGATTCATCATGTAAAAGGCCTCTGAGTCTTTGGACCCCACAACCCTCTCAAACCTGGCTCTCATGTACATGAGCTCGCCCTCGGACCCAACTCCATCGACGTCTCCATTGCACGGTAGCACGCCAGCACCCATTGAAATCGGCTCAAGAGCCTTCAACACCTTCCATTCCTCTGGTCCACACTCACGCCTCATTGCATAGCCGCATTTCTTCCCGTTGCAGTATGTCCTCCAAAGAGGCTCTTCCAGCAGCTTCAGGCCTTTCTTCTCTGTCTTTTTCTCACATTCCAGGGCAATCCTTACCAAACCAGAAGCCATTTCCCGAACCAGAACGCTAGTTGGTGTCGCAAGTTCGATTAGGAATGCTGGACACAGCTTTGCATCGTCCTGGAATGCCAAATGGACATGGCCACGCCGGTAACCAAAAAGGGTGCCGATGACTTTGGTGCCTAAACCTGAGCGGCAGGCTGATCGGTTTTTGCCAAAGACAGCAAGAGCAGATCGGAGCTTAGAAACAGCCACAGCTGGGAGTTTTTTTCTGGATGCCCTGGCTGAAGGAACTTCTGCAGGCACCTGGATTGTAAGCTGGTCTTCCTTCTCCTCCTCCCAGAAGTGTGAGGAGCTGAAGGTCAAGATTTCTTCCTCATTATTGTCATCTTCGAACTTCTTTTTCCAGTTGAAATACCTTCTGGAGAAAGAAAAAGAAGAGTCATGGGAGTTCTTAGCTGTGATTGTCTTCATCTGGGACAGCAAAACAGAGACAATTACAGAAAGAAGAAAGCCAAGACTAAGGAGAGAAAGAAGAAAGGATAAAAGAGATTTTGTCTCTGTTTCCTTGGTCCTTCTATATAGTGGTTATGTGGGGTGGATTTATTCGTTGCTTCTATTGCCTTTTCCGTCAGAGAATCCTGAAGAAAAGGAAGGTGAACAGCCTCACCTAACTGATCTAAAACAGGAACAAAGAAAAGAGAGGGAATTGCTGAGGGACAAAAAACTGGGGTGGAAATGGACAAGACAGGGGATATGAAATGGAATTTGAGAGAAGTGGGAATCTGAGGAAACAATGGGTTGTGTTATTTGTTTGTGTTGTGGGGGCTGAAACGAGAAATAAGGAGAGTGTGTGGGGTACAGACTACATAGAGAAAGCGAGCCTTGACTGAATGCCTGGTCTAACTGGCATTGGAAAGAGTTAAGGGCAGGTATAGCCCACACCAACCGTAACCACCAGGACCATCCCAATTCCCAATTCCCAATTACGCAATGCTGCCCTTTAGTCCTTTAATGCTCCTCCAAGCACCCACCCAAGAACCGATCAAGCCCCATTGCACTCATAACGAAGCCAACTTTAGCCATCATAGTGCTTTTCAATTTTCATCATTATCTCATCCTTCTACTTTTTTGTGTTATCTTCGGGGGTTGAGAGAATGATTAATCTGATCGACACAGCTAATCCTGCACAAGAAGTCTGGTGTGGAGAAGGTTCTGGAAGACAGCTCTTTACACCGTGGAATCCATAACCAACGTTTAAGCAGCATCCGTAAATAAGAGAAACAAGGTAAAGAATACGAAGAAAAATAATTAGTCGAGTTGCTCAAACAACCCCCTCCAAGTAAAATTACATTCATTACGTGCTATTATTTGCTTAGAAAGGAATGAACCTAAGTTTCAATAAAGGGTAATTACATGTATAGTTCTAACTTTCCTATACGGGATTACAAATTACATAATTAGGGACCTAACCAAACCATTCTAAAAGGTTGAGGGCCACACGCATAATTTACCCCTTAAGAAACCTTTCAGTGGGGTCTAATTGGAAATTTATTTCCAACAAGGGGGAGGGGGAAGGGGGGGGGGGTGCCAAACTAGAACTATTACTAAAAAGTAATGAGCTCAGCTTCCTGCAGGGATGTTAAAATAAGAAAGAAGATCCAATAAAACCCATGAAGTCACCCAAATTATTGTGAACAGTCTTCCCAAGGAAGTAGCAATGTCAAAAAGTAGACGAATAATCATGAATATAACCCCATCGAGCCGATAAACTTCCAGCAAAGGAATGAGCTAGATTGGGCAAAATTATCTGCTTAATGTTTGACAATTTGAGCGTGGCAGATCCCTAGGTTAAGACTAATTCGACAATTTTGTCTCACTTACCTCCATATGCCCCACATGCGCCGCAGACCATCCTTAGAGTCAAACCTGGTTGAATTTTCAGACAAAGCATGATTAAGTCCATCAATCCTCATGGAAGTAGTTACAGAAAAATCATATGTGTAGGCATTTTTTAAGTCATGGGACCGACCAAACCAAATCCACTGATCAACTAACAATCGTCGGTAAACCAGAAGTAAACTATTAAACCATATAACATATTCAGATGTACAAACTAATTATAAGTTTGTTATGAAGATGTCATCTTATTTCAGTGCAGCTTGTAAAGAGATGCCGAGGATGCAAAGTCAAAGTTGTTAGTTGTAAGAGTTGATTAAAATGGAAGATTAAGAGTTCTAGTTTCTTTACTTTCTAAATGAATGTTTAAGTACAGAGAGTTAGTGCATAAACTTCTACCACATGTGATGTGTAGATAACCAACCAAGACATATTCAGCATAAACAAAATATTTCTCCCAAAAAAGTTATTTTTTTGTTTGGTAGAGAAGAACCGAGGGGAGCCCTCAGAAAGCCTGGTACAGAGATCCAAGTATTCTTTGATCAGGACCTATATGCAAATATATTGACCTAGTTAACACAGGAAATTTTATTCCATCTAGAATTGACACTCTGACAGTACTTAAAAGGGGAAAATCACTTAGGCTGGCTTGATTACTAGCTTCTATCTTTGTTACCAGAGACACTGTAGCCATGTGAGTTCGTTCACATGTAACCCTACTGGTGGTAAGACTGACTCCAATACCTGTAGATGGTCATGTATGAACCATGCCCCTAATAACTACAGAGGAAAATCATAAACTGTAATGTGATTGGTACCTAGGAAGAGAAAACTGGGGTAACCTAAGAAGCAGCCTAGCGATCTTTATTCTGCATTTCATAGATTGGTACATTAATCTCAGGAAGTTTACCACTCATTTCCTTAAAATTGGCCGTGGCTCCTAATTTATAGTTTCTGCTACACCATTCCCACGATAAGCTACTATCAACCCTGAAGCAGAACCTTGCCTAAGGTGCCTTCTAAATCTGATTATACATTACTGAACCTCTATAACAAATTCAAGCAGGAAAATTTCAGACCATTGCCACAGTAAAAAAAGAGCAATAAGAAGAAGAGAATGCGTAGACTGAAATATATACTGGCACTTTACCTGGATGGATTAGACAAATTACCCACGGAAAAAGTGAATGGTAAGTTATTTTGACTCACAACAGAAGAGAAATACTTTCATGTTCGATAATCATTGTCAAGCAGAATGACTAGATGACCTACAAGGTCTGACAATTGTCCTTGTGTTGTGTGGTATGCACTTCTCAAATATTGAAGAACAGGTGGGTCCCTTTGCATATTTCAGAATTCAAACCTTCCTGCTACCAACAAAGGCCTAGCTAACAGTAGCTTTGGAATTCTTCGAAGTATTTGTCGACGAGTCCGGCACTAGCAGCCCAACTGAGCTGGCAACGTGCAGTAAAAATTTTGGTCCATGCTAAAGTTTGACTCCTTATGCATACAGTTGTAATATTTCTCTCTTCTTTCAAAATTGTTCCTTTTCAATATATATATATATATATATATATTGAAGAGCCCAAGCTACTGTTGCAATGAATTGCGTGTGTAACGAGACAGCAAATACCAAAACAAGCAAGGTGACCCCATTAAATTCAAGTTGAAGTTTTTTCTGATATATTACCTAAGTATGCAAGGGTGTCTGGAGGTTTCAAACTTCTTGTTTCTGTTAACTCTAGCAGTGCTATTAGTCCAAACGAAATAAGCTAAGTACCTTAATTCATGAGAAGATGGGCAATAATTTAGGATGATAGTCATCTAAACAATGGATTTAGAATTACTGCATAGAGAGATTGAAGATTGACAAACCATATAACTCAAAGGCTCAAAGCTGACTCACCATCTCAAAACACTTCTAGTGTTTACAAGAGAAAGACTTTTTGTCTTGGAGCTCTGTCAGGTATTGGATAATAATTTATACTGATGTTAGTCAAATATAGACAGAACAGAACGATGACAGATCAAAATCAGAAAGATCATGAATGGCTAACTATAATTTATGTTGCAAACTTGCAATAACTATTCTAAGCTAAAAAGACTAATATGTCAGGAAAACATGGAGAAGAAGGACTACAAAACCTTGCATTGCATCTTGGGCACAAAAGCTGCCGCTAACCAAACCTCTATTTGCTGGTCAAGCCATAATTTTAGTGAATGACAATGCTAATGCATAAACAGGGATAAACATACAAAAGGGTGGATCAAGAAAAAATTCCCCATGAATGCATTTATCGACACATTTATTTCAGATAAATTGTGACCAAATACAGAAACACTAAACAAGTAGATGACTGAACACATCTGAATTAAAGGTGCCCAAAAGATGGCCAATATCAAAACTTGAGGTATCAAAGGACAAAGGTAAAGAAAAATATAAAATGGAAATGCCAAATGATGTAAAGAATTTGTACCATGAATGTAAAGAAGAAAATGCAATAAATCATGAAAGTATTAGTAGACTTGGTAGAAAATCACTGATTTTAACATCTAAAGTGAAGGTAGAAAATCACTGCCTACAAAAGGCTGTGTTTGAGAACATTGAAAAATCCTTTTCTAATTCTTTTCATTGTTCAATAAGAGTTCATAAAAAAATTTGCTCCAAATGGTAATTTTCTTTAAAGATCTTTTTCCTTTAAATTTAAGTAGGAATACTACAGCATTCAGTATCTCCAACTAAAGGAAACATGTATCAATTGATTTAACCATGACGTAACCAAATGACCCAATGCGCAAATTTTCCATTGAGAATTGACTAATCTTCCCAACTTGTGAAAAACAATATATACTATTTGTTGTCTGAATTAACTAATCAATGCAGATTGCAGGTTAACCATAATCAGAGTAAAGAATTTATGTTCAATTGTTCATGCATCACTTGTAGTTCAGCTAATTGCATCTCTAAGTTATGTTGACTGTTGAGGTAATTTAATAAACCATTCTTCATCCTAAGAAGACTTTTCTCAGCCGGAATTAGATCAATCTATGAAGAGATAAGAAAATCAGATATAATCCTAACATGAAACAGACTAAACTGATAACTAGAACATGGTACTGTTCCATTAATAGCCAATTTGAAGACTCCGCATCAATATCAAATTCAAGATACACTAAAAACAATCCAAAACAGAGCGTTGGAATGGAGAATATTTGAAACCAAAATGAGGTAGAACATAGTGTAGTAAATTACTATTTATTCAGTGGGAAAAGGATTGAATCCGCTGCGCACCATTTCCTCCAGTGGCAGGAATAAAGGTTCCGGAAGCTTATCCCACTCATACCAATCCCAACCGTCGCACTTCTCGGGCTCAAGATTTTGCGGCACTTGACTGGTATCGGCCAAAACAGCTCGCAGATAGATAGTAACGTAATGTGCTGGTTTCGGTATCTCCCTGAAGATTGTGTTGGTGACTGTTAGGTACTCTGGTTTCTCAATGTCCAGTCCAGTTTCCTCCTTCAACTCTCTGGCGGCACATTCCTCGAAGCTCTCCCCTACAAACAAACAGATCAAAATCAGAGCGCTACCGGTGCTCCCCGCTGTAGGCACACCTAGGCTTTTCTTTCAGGCGCAAGGGGTACAGCTCATTAATTGAGGTGCGTAGAGAGAGATTCACCTACCAAACTCGAGGTGGCCACCGGGGAGAGCATAGGTGGAGTGGCCGATGGTGCCCCGACGCCGCCCTAACAGCACTGATTTCCCCTTTAGGAGGATCAACACCACCCCGACTCTTGGAGCCGGCTTCGGTTCCGCTACCACCACATTATTTTCCATTCCTTTTGAACCTTGAATTACCCTTCTCCCTCTGCTCCCGGCGCTGCAGTTTACCCCGATTGAAGCACGGCTAAAAGAGTAAAGATGCTCTTCAAGTATTTTATATTTCACCCTCGTAGACCATGGCAACGACGACGTTCTTTCCTTTTGACTCTTTGTATTCCCGCCAGCAGTGAGACACACTAACTTGTGCAAATAATTTGTTGTACCCGTCGGACAAATTAAATTGTGCCACGTCACAAACTTTTACGGGTAAGACATCGTCTGGGGATGTTGCTTGCTGTAATTGGTATTCTTGCACTTCGTGCAGTGATGACTAGATTGGGAGAGACCAAAAGCTATGCCTGCTTCCTGCAAATATAACATAATGTTTTCAAACAACTTAATAGTTATCATATATGAAAATAGATAAATTAAACAATCATACAGTATTTTGTTTGATTCTGATAATTATTTGTGTAATTATAATATAATTTGTAATTGTGTTGATACTTGTTATTATGTTAATAATTTTTTAAATCAAAACTTATAAATCCTTAAAAAAATTTAAATTTTAATTGTTAGTAATGATTTACTTCTACACTTCTATTTTATATTAATTTACAAGTTTCCATACCGATTAAAAATTTAGAGCAGCACCGAGCTCTTTGGGCCAAGTGACAATAGCCACACATGGTGCATTCCTCCCTCCCACAGGGCTGGGGTTCGAACCCAACCCATTGTAAAATCTGTTCAAAAAAAAAAAAAAATTTAGAGCATAACATTACTAGTACTCATTTCCTCTAAATAATGGTTTGTGCTACACCATTTCCCCCAATGAGCTACTGCTAATCCTGAAGCAGATCATTCTCTTCTAAATCTGATTACACATTACTGAACCTCTATAAAAAATTCAAGCAGAAAAAATTCAGACCATTATTACAGTAAAAAGGAGCAATGCAAAGAAGAGAATGCATAGACTCAGATACTGGGGTTTTACCTGGATGAATTAGACAGATTAACCACTGAAAAAGTGAATGGGAAGTTATTTTGACTCACAATGGAAAAGAAATGGTTTCATGTTCGATAATCACTGTCAAGCAGAATGACCAGAAATTAAAATATTTTAATTATTATTATTCTAAATTTATTAAAAATAT